GGTCGTGGTGGAGCAGGTTTCCCTACGGGTATGAAGTGGAGCTTTATGCCACGCAATATGCCGGGACAGAAATACATTGTGTGTAATTCGGATGAGTCGGAGCCGGGCACCTGTAAAGACCGTGATTTATTGCGTTTTAATCCACATGCTTTAGTGGAAGGTATGGCGATAGCGGGTTATTGCATCGGCGCAACCGTAGGTTACAACTACATGCGCGGTGAGTTCTTAGACGAGCCATTTATTCGTTTTGAACAAGCGGTAAAAGAAGCCTATGAGGCGGGTTTTCTCGGAAAAGATATTCTTGGTTCTGGTGTTGATTTTGAACTGCACGGCTCATTAGGTGCCGGAGCCTATATTTGTGGTGAAGAAACAGCGCTGTTGGAGTCTTTAGAAGGCAAAAAAGGTCAGCCACGTTTTAAGCCTCCTTTTCCAGCAAGTTTTGGTTTATACGGTCGTCCTACCACCATTAACAATACCGAAACTCTTTCCTCTATCCCCGTGATTTTGCGTAATGGTGGTGAATGGTTTAGGGATTTAGGGTGGAAGGTTCGGGCGGTGAAAAATTATTTTCCATGTCGGGGCATTTGAATAATCCGGGTAATTATGAAGTGCCGATGGGGATTCCGTTTCGTGAACTGCTCGAAATGGCCGGTGGAGTTCGTAATGGACACCAGCTGAAAGCCGTGATTCCCGGTGGTTCTTCGGTTCCGGTGATGCCTGCCGATATCGCGATGGAATTGACCATGGATTACGACACCATTGCCAAAGCAGGTTCATACCTTGGCTCGGGTGCGGTGATGGTCATGGATGAGACCACCGATATGGTCAAGTTGCTACACCGAATCTCGCGTTTCTATTTTTCTGAGTCGTGCGGACAATGTACCCCTTGTCGTGAAGGCACGGGTTGGTTGTACCGCATGCTGACACGGATTGTAGAAGGTAAAGGCACCTTGGAAGACATCGATCGCTTAGATGATGTGGCGCATAAAATAGAAGGTCGCACTATCTGTGCGTTAGGTGAAGCGGCGGCGATGCCCGTATGGAGTTTTATACAGCACTTTAGAGAAGAATTTGTGTATTACGTTGAGCATGGTTGCTCGATGGTGAAATCTAAATAAGTTCTAAGCGCTATTCAATGATAGCCGTTTGATAATTAAATTAGTAGATGTTGGCCTTAGCTAGGATAAGAACAGGATGAGTGAAGAATTAGTCACAATCGAAATCAACGATCAAGAGATTCAGGCAAAACCTGGTTCAATGTTGATTGAGGCTGCTGATGCTGCGGGTGTTCATATACCACGTTTCTGCTATCACAAAAAATTATCTGTCGCGGCAAACTGTCGTATGTGCCTCGTCGAAGTAGAGCGAGCACCCAAGCCAATGCCTGCCTGTGCTACGCCTGTGAATGCAGGTATGAAGGTGTGGACACGTTCTGAAAAAGCCTTATCAGCACAAAAAGATAATATGGAATTCTTGCTGATCAATCATCCACTGGATTGCCCTATTTGTGATCAGGGTGGTGAGTGCGAGCTGCAAGATGTCGCCATGAGTGCAGGCGGCAGTGCGACCCATTTCCATGAAGTCAAACGTGTGGTGGTAGATAAGGATATTGGCTCTTTGGTGGCGACTGAAATGACACGCTGTATCCAGTGTACTCGCTGTATACGTTTTGGCGAAGAAATTGCCGGAATGCGCGAAATGGGTGCTATCGGTCGTGGCGATCGCATGGAAATTAGTACCTTTGTTGAGCATAGCCTTACTTCTGAATTATCAGGCAATATTATTGATATCTGTCCTGTTGGTGCGCTAACCGCGAAACCTTCACGTTATAAAGCGCGTCCTTGGGAAGTCATTCAAACACCGTCAATAGCATCGCATGATAGCGTCGGATCAAACGTCAACTTGCATGTTTTTAAACATCAATTAGTGCGTGTTGTCTCCAGAGAAAATGAAGACGTTAATGAATGCTGGATATCGGATAGAGATCGTTTTAGCTATCAAGGCATTAATGCCCCAGATCGTTTGACCACGCCGATGATGAAACAAAATGGCGCGTGGCGTAACGTGGAGTGGGCGGTTGCACTTGAAGCAGTGGCGGAG